GCGGGGGGCTTTGCTGCTGAGGGAGGGGGTGCTAATGTGTCCCCCCCCGAAGAACAGAGGGGCCCCAGTGGGCAAGTCCCCAGCCCCTCTCGGTGCAGAAGCAGGAGTAACTAGGGGCAACAGTCCTGCCCACTTCCCAGGGGTGGCAACAAACATGCAGTTTGCAACAGCTTCTCCTCGTTCATGCACCAGGAGCGGATCCCCCCTGCCCACCAGAGGGAGCTGGGCAGACATTCCCCCCTGCTGCTCTCAGGCCGGCCCAGTGGTTTGAGCAGGAGGGCTGGAGTCAGCTGAGCATTCTGCTGCCATCCTTACCTGGGGCACCGTGGTACCTCGCTTTGCCCGTGTGTAAAACGGTGCGAATATGCCAGGGGAGGGCAACGAGGTGATTGGCAAGGCTGACCTGCAACGTGGTGAGAGGCTGTGCCACCCAGCCCCAGCGGCGCTGCGACAGCAGCATGGTGCTTGGCGCTCCTGCCCCGACACCCCCTCTTCCTACAAACACTCAAGCCCTCCCCTGCTGGTCGCCAGCCCGCCAGGGCTTCAGCTGTTAGCTCCCCACCAGCCCTGCAAGTCAGGGGAGTTTCCATCCCAGAGCTTGCCCAGTCGCATGTTAGCAGCAGAGCAGGGAAAGGAGCCAGACCTGGTGTCATCCACTGGACTCTCGCCTCTTCCTCCATGCCCCACCTCCCAGAAAGCAAACACAACGGGCTGAGCTGGGGTCAGGACCACCCTGCCAGCAAAGCCGCCGTGCGTGTGCGCCGCAGACAGAGCACTCAGCAGCCAGGGTTTCATTGTTGCACACCAGAATTACATTCCGCAATGGGCCCATCACTGCAGGGCTGGGTTTGAAACACACCACACAGGCTAAAAGCACCCACAACACACCGGTGAGACAGATGCCCATGACAGCGCTATTGGGAATGCAGAGGACGGTGACAGCAATAGCAGGGTGAAGAGCCCTTGGCCACTGTGTGATCTAGAGTCACCTGGAGAGCTGAGATCAAACCTTCACACCTTAGTTTACCAGTGAGCCTCTTCCACTGAGGTTACTGTGTTCTTGCCACCCTCTGCCCCGGAAGCTGGCAGTCACCACGGCTTGCTCAGAAAGCTGGAATCAAAGCCTGAACAAAACCCAGCAACTGTGGGGTGTGATCAGAGGCCCAGAGACTTCACTGCATCTGCCCCCACCTCCCAACCGGTCTGCCCTAGCAGCCTGCAGCCCAGCATAGCCGCTAGCCAGTCTGCTCTCCCTCTCCCCCAGGCTACAGTGCTTCTGTTTGATTTCCACTCCTGCTACGATCCACGACAAGATGTGCCATAATGAGGTCTATGAAGTCTGATATTGTGAGGCTTGCTGCATCTGATGGTGTGCCAGGCAAACCCCAGCCCTGCCTGGCCTGTTCCTACGGACAGCAGGTGGAAACGGTCAGAACGAGATCTCAGAGTGCAGCTCTCCCAAGAAGTGATCTCGAAGCAGCTGCTTTTTCTGTTTCCACCCCAGCCCAGGGCAGGGACAGTTGGGGATTTGTACAGTGCCAAGAGGCCCTCCCAAGGCAGTGCAAGGGTAGGGGACAGTCCTGGTACCTGGCTCTGCACTAAGGAGCAGCTCAGATCTGGATCGGGACCAAACTGATAGGCCACACTGTATGGGACAGCCAGGCAGGGTCTCTCCGGAGCCCACAAAGTGGCAAGTTCCCTCCAATGGCCCAGCACCCAAAGCCCGAGCTTGCAGCAGGGGGGTGTCCCAGGTCACAGCAGGAAGCACCCACCACCTGGAAAGCTCCCTGCAGCCAGAGGACGTGGCTGTCAGCATCCAGGACTGCACTTCATTAGCTCCCTGAGATGGGACATTCCCACCACCTCAGGGCACAGACTCAGCCCGGCTTCTTGGACCCTAATGCAGGGGCGAGAAGGGGGTTCCATTGGGTTAGAGGAGCTGGAGCTGCTGGGAATGCAGCTGAAAGGAAAGTGCTCAGCATGAGAAGCGCAAGTGACGCTCCTGCTTGCCGCAGCCCACTCCCAGCTCTGCAGGGTTAATTCAGAGCAGGTGGAGTTCCAGAAAGCGGAGTGAGCCCTTGGGGAGGGGAGCGAGAGCTGGCGCCAACCCCGCGTGCACAAAGGAATCAGCAGGCCCTTTCGTTTTCCACTCGAGTGGGACTGAGCAGAAGACAGCACAAGGATTTCAGCAGCATGTTCACAGCAAGAGCCATCAAAGGGCATGGGTCTCCGCCCTGCTAGCAGATCTGCTTTGCTCCTGCTCCCGCCCCACCGTGCCAGTTTGCCCGCTGCACGTTTACCCACCCCACCAGTGGCTGATCCTCAGCAAGAGCAGCAGCCTAGCAGAGCCAGCAGTTAGCCAGGGCTGTGGTGCTGAGAATCCCAGGGGCAAAACCCATTGTGACCATGTGGGGGGCATGACGTTGCCAGCTAGTCTGCACCTCCAGCTCCTGCTTTTCCCCTCCACACCTGCCCCACCCTGAAAACTAACAGGAAAGAAGGTAAATGTGCAATTTAATCCAGCATCCCCCAACTGGGCCACTCTCCAGCAGGTTCCCTGGATGCTGGTGAGACAGCAGCGGAGTAAGAGCGGGTGAACCGGCAGCATCCCTGGAAGGGGAATACAATGCAAGCCAGTGCGGCACTTCCCTGAGATTCTGGAGACAGACCTGAGATTGAAATGGCTCAATACAGCAGCCGAAGGCTAAGGCTACATCTACACTGCGGGGAGTATAGCAACGCAGCTGCAGCAATGCCTGTGTGCGCCCGTAGTGTCTATGCTGCCCACAGACGGAGCAGGAACCTACCCGAGTGAAGAGAGCTAGGCTGGTGAAAACCTGCTTCCATCAACCGACAGCCTGGGTGAAGTCACTGCAGCCCCAGCAGCCGAGCTTTGGACCAGATCCAAAGTCTAAGTCCTGGGGAGTTGCGAAGGCCCCAGAGCTAGTAACCCTACCCCTGGCTACAGCTGCAATGCCAGGCCCAGCGGCACTGCTAACCTGGTGCGCTCCATTGCAACCCACTAAGCTGGCCCACAGCCTCGGCCCCACAGCAACATGCCGCCGCAGCGGGGGCCAAACAAGCAGAAGTCAAGTGCTGCGACTGGCCTCTGAAACAGGGGGCTTCACAGGACGTGGAGGGTGTCCAGCAAGGGCTGTGCAGGCAGCAGCCTCCCTGGGCTCCCCCATGTCCGGGGCAGGGCTGGATTAAGGGGGGCTAGCCGGGCAGCTGCCCGGGGCACCAACCTATGGGGGGCACCTGATTGCAGCTGTAAGGGGCACACGCCCAGCTCCCGGGCTGCAGCAGCTCCCAGCGGCCGCCTGGGGTGGGGGCCACATTAACCCCCGTAGCGCTGGCCAGCAGTACTCTTCCCCTCGCGGCCGCGGGGCCCTGCACGGCCAGGCTTGGCCTGCCCCAGGCTGCGCGCCAGCGGTGGTAGCTGGGCCGGGCACCGCACACACGTCCTGCCATCGCCGTCTCCGCACGGCCTCCCCCACATGCTGAGTGGGGGCGGGGCCACATATGCACCCTCCCCCACCCGGGGTGCAATTAAAGTGTCTGCCCGGGGTGCTGGAATGGCTCGGTCCGGCCCTGGGCAGGGCGAAGGGGAACGTCGTGCTTGTCAGGGGTCGCACTGATGACCATAGATCTTGGCTTACCCACAGAACGGGCACAGCCGGGCCAACAACAGGACAAGTTCCCAGGCTCAGGGCCACCTGTCTGTGGCGCGACCCACTCCCTAGGATCTAGGTGCTTATGTGCATGCCTCTGGCCTAGCTGGGCCACTGCCACGTCACACAGGCTTTGGAACAGGGCCCATCTTTCCCGCCCCGCCATGGCGAGAATCCACACAAAAGGCCCCGTATCCTGCCAACTGCTCCCTCAGCCTGCCGGTCCCGGGGGGAAGGGGTCCAGCCGCCCCCAAATCCAACCCTGCCGCACTGGAAAAGCCAGGGGCTCTGCAAGGGCCTGTGTGAGTCGGGGCCACACACAGCAGGGGAGAGGGCAACAGGAAGCCCAAAGTAACATTAGGAACAAGAATTAGTCCAGTCCGAAGAGAACCGGGGGCCTGCAGCCAGACGCACCCCGGAGCTCTTTGCCTCCTCTCCAGCCCCACAGCTCTGGGGTGGAACTGCACACGGACGGGCCTGAAGAGCAAAGGGCAGGGCCGGGAACTCCAGCGGGAGGCAGGAGCTCAAACCCGGGCCTGGCTTAGTTGTGATGTGACAGCTGAGGATCTACGCCCACAGGGCAGCCCTGCTAGCCACACACAGCACTGCAGGGTGGGAAGGGACGTGCTCCCAATGCACACGTGCACTGTGGCAGAAGGGCAGCCTGGAGCTGAGATATTGGGGGGAGGGGAGGAGATGACAAGGGATGGGCAGGTCAGAGCTCAGACCTGGGGTGGAGGGAGAGGGATGGGCAGGCAATGGGGAGATAGAGGCACAGGGAGAAGGAGAGGCCTGAGCTCACACACGCACCCTTTTCTTCAGTAGGTGAATGCTAGTGGTCTGGTTCATGATCACCAGGGCAGGGTAGAAGGGCAGTGCCAGGCAGAAATACCAAGCCACCCCTTTGATCTGTGCCTGGAACCAGTCCGAGCAAATCCCGAGGACCACCGTGAAGGTGGCCAGCAGGCAGACCACCAGGCCACCCGTGATGTGGTAGAGCCTCAGACGTGCCACAGCGGAGATCCCCAGCAGCTGGGGGAAGCGCAGGCTAAGCCCACACAGAGCTTGCCCGCAGGTGGCAGCCAGAGTCAGGACGCCCAGGAGGCTGTGCCAGGAAACCATGTGTGGGAGCTCGCTCCGATTCTTGCTGGAGACGATGAAGCCCAGGCCCAGCGCAGCCATCACGAGCACCAGCGTCTGCACAGCCCAGTGCAGCCACACCTTCCCCTGGCGGGAGCAGAGGCAGAACGGGGAGCTCTCGGGCGAGAAGAGCAGGATGGCTTCAGGAAGGCAGAGGCAGAACTGGGGAGACAGGAGACAATTAGCAACACGATGCCCGGCTGCCCTGCACCCCACTGGCCAAGGACTCCGCGAGGGACAGCATGTGAGCCAGGGATGGAAGAGCACAAGGGGAGAGTCCATGCTCCCACGGGTAGAGCCAGATCACCCCCAGCAGCAAGACTCGGTGTAAGTAATGAGGCTTGGAGACTCGGCCTTCCCTGCGAGTCAGCACAGTGCTAGCAAATCACGCACACGCCTGTTCCCCTCAGCAGTGTCAGGGCCATGCAGGCACACGTCAGGCAGCACACAACACTGCCGCGGCTCTAGCGTGGCACACGCGGACACTGCTGCGGCTCTAGCGTGGCACACGCGGGCACAGCATCCACTGCCAACCTCTTCCCCAACTTCCCCACTGACCAGCCCTAAAGAGACCCCTACTGCATGTTCATGGGGGCCTTCGAGGCTCCCCCCCACTGGAGCTCAGGTGGGATGCACTCCTGCAGCTCCCGTGTTTCTGTGCTGGGGAGGAGGGTCAGCAGGGTACTCTGGGCTGGAATACGTAGCCCACGTGCGTTGCAAGATCTAGCTAGTCCCTAAGGCCTGTCATGGGAAGAGGCTTTTCTGGGGGTTTAGAGTTTGCCCTTGTGTTGTTCTCATTTAACTTGTGCCTGCAAGTGAGTGTAAATGTGCGTGGAAAATGGTGACTGGTGGCCAGTCTATCAATCAAACTAATCAATAATTCTCATCCACTTCCCATGCAGAGGAACTGCCTAGCTCCTGGCAGCCTCCCACTGCCCAGTCAGAATTCCCAGCGACACTCACTTCCCTTGCTGAAGTCACAAGCGTCCCACCTTCACCCACCCCCCTGCTTTCAGCCATCAGCCCAGCAGCTTTGTCTTCCAACAGATCCTCCAAACTGCCACCGAGCCATGCCTGGAGCCAGAGAGATGTCGGCTGAGGGCTAAGAGCTGGCATTCAGGTGACATCCTGCCAACCAGGGAGCACCTACTTGAAACGCATGGGCAATACATTCATTACTGACACCCGTCGCTTACTCTAGAGACCAGATGCTCTGGAGTCTCTGCATCTTTCCAAGCACCACATCCGCCCACTGAAAGCCTGCAAGCCAGTGAGCGGAAGCCAGCTAGGCCATGCTAGTCCTCAGGAAGATAGCATGTGCTGCGGCAGATCATGGTCTGAGTCCAACAGGCCCAACCGAGCGCATGCTGCCAAGGGCAGTGCTATCTGAAGGACCCGCGGCCGAGGAAGCCAGAGTCTCCAAAAGCAAACCAAAGCAGCCACAAACCCTGGGCATTTCTAGCAGATAAACAGAAAAAAACAAACTTACCGCTAGAGACATGAAGACTGGGTGCCAAGAAAACAGACCTGGAAAGGAGAGACAGTGCTTAGGGCTGGGGAACAGGCGATGATGCGTCAGTCACCCATTCTAGACGAGAGCACTGCTCCTACCTGGCAGTGGCTCTGGCCTGGCTGGGGAGCAGGGATGGAGAGTGCATTGAACACTCCGGCGCGTTGGTCTGAATCCTGCCTACCTGGTGGGTTTGGGAAGGCCTGTGGAACGCAGTCCCTTTCTCCCCTTCCCGGGCGGTCGCTATTTCTAGCCTTTGCAGAGAACAACCCTTCTCAGATGTAACCAGTGCTTCTTAAAACCTGCCGCATGTTCTCAGTGGAAGCCAGCCTGAGTGCGGCTTTTTAAACAATGTTAAATTCGCCTGGGTCTTTGCACTGCAACGTCTCAGGGATGCTCCTTCTTTCACGCACTTCTGCCTCCTCTCCCGCAGAAGCACCGAGCTGACCCAGGCACTGGCGATACTGAAACTGCCTTGCTGGGAAACTTGCGACGCGCTGAGTGGAAAGCTAAGCGGGCCATAAGGTCACCCCCTCGCCTCCCCCGCTCTGCGAGGTCCCTTTAAAAGCCAGCGTCACCCATGGCCGTGGGGAGTGACTGGCAGCGAGGAGCAAAGAGCTGGCTCCTGATCTCCGCCCCCAGCGGCCGGAGGGACGAGGCCCCTGGGGAATGCTGGGCCAGGATGGCTCTGGCCAGCCCCGGCAGCAGGGGAGACGCCCCAGGGCAGGGAGGCTGCTCTCCCCTGCAGAGGGACGCTCCACAAGGGGGCTGGGACCTGGCGCCTTGCAGACCCCAGTGTGGCAGCGAGGAGCAAAGAGCTGGCTCCTGATCTCCGCCCCCAGCGGCCGGAGGGACGAGGCCCCTGGGGAATGCTGGGCCAGGATGGCTCTGGCCAGCCCCGGCAGCAGGGGAGACGCCCCAGGGCAGGGAGGCTGCTCTCCCCTGCAGAGGGACGCTCCACAAGGGGGCTGGGACCTGGCGCCTTGCAGACCCCAGTGCACCAGCCCGGGACACCGCGCAGGGCCGCTCAGTGGCTCCGCAGCCGGCT